ATTTTAATATTTATTAGAACGCTGCGTAGAGCGATCTATTAGGGCGTAGCTATAACACCTTTTACGTAATGAATCGACGTCTTCTTATACTAGACGCGAAGCATAAACTCAATTTTTGTTCCCTTTCCTTTTACACCGCAACGCTAAGGAGTCCCTAGTTGTATTACAAAACGTACATGGTACTTTCGCCAGCGCCGGTTCTTTACAGTTAACACAGGGACTGTGCCAATGAATTCCACTGTACTCTTCTTTTTATAGGAGAATACACATAAAGTACAGTGAAGAAATATTAAAATATGCCATTCAGTTTTACACATTGCATTTGTAGATTTAACGTAGTAACCCACTTTACCTCTGCTCTTAAAAGTATCTTAACATATTGCTGTTAATTAAAATGACACATTCAGTGAAAAATACTACCATGCGTCTTTCAGAGTCATGATAATAAAAAAGAAACGGAAAGAACGTTTTCATACAATGATTCTGAATCTGAATCTGGTATTTCTACGAATAACACTTTGTTCATCAGTGTCTTCGGAAACCCGATAAAATTCAATTACCATGACGTCATGGAAGTTAATTAATAATTTAGAATATGTCAAAGATAAATCACATAAACTCTAAGAGAATGTCATGCTGATTTCCACAAAATAAATCAGTTAACATATACTTGTATTTAGACAAATAAAATCAGAAACTTTTATTTAAAAATACTGTAAATAGAAAATAACTAGCATTTCGTAATTTAATGCCGTTAAGAGCCCCTTTCACATACATACTTTTTTTTATCACGCACACACATTTTATGACTACTAAATACAGTTCATCACAAAATACCAAAGGTTAAAATAAATCTGCTGTTAAAGAAAAGCCACTGATAAATCGTTATATTAATAGATAATAGCTATTGATAAATAGTTCGTCCATGGGCATCGACGAATGATCGTCTATGTACAAATTCTCTGTAACAATAATGGAAGAAGGGGCAATGATGAATCCACAACGAAATAGCTGTGTACGATTGTGCTTCAAGTTCTTCTAGAATCATCTAAAATTTAAAATTTATTGAAGAAAAGGAAGAAAATATTTAAGAACCAACAGAACTCCAAAATCTTTTGAATGATATCTGAAATACAAGCAAGCCCCGTTCCTCAAATATTAATTTTCAAAATACTAGAAACTCAAAAAAATTTCAGCAACAAATAAGTAAACTTCGATAATGTAACATATTTCCCTTAATATACAGAAATATATATATATTATATGGATGTATTCTACAGTTTCAAATGTGAAAATGAAACATTGTTTAAAGGAGGAACTGCTACGTTAAAATTTCAAAGTTTTGTCCTCCAGTGTATGATGATAATTTCAAAGGATGCGCTGGTTTGGAAAACTTTCTCTGAAGAGGAGATAAAGGATTATATTTAAAAATGCATTTAGAATATAAGTTGTGTTGAATAGTGAATGATGTTAAAGTAGTAAGTTCTTTTAATTGCTTTTTTAAAAAAATTTGTTTTTTTAATCTTTTGTTTGATTTAATTCTTTTTGAAGTATTATCTAAGTTTTCCTTTTTACTAGAAATATTTTTTGATAAAGATACATTGAATTTTCAGTATTTAATTGCTTTGTCAAATGTTCTATTTAAATTTACGGTTATTTGACCAAGCATGATGTTTAAAAATTTTCGATTTCTTTGTTTTGTATAATAATATATATTTAACTGGAACAGTAATATATATTTAACTGTTTATCATATGCACTGTTATGATTACTGAACCAAACTGGTATAAAAATGCCATAAATTTACATATTTTGCACTAAATGCTGCTGCAGCTTAGGATCGAACTCTGTAAAAGCTGGATTTTAAGAAATGATATGCATATTATCTGCCAAACCGAGAATAAAATTTCGTTTTACTTAGCATATTCATATTTTAATTCAATCTATGCTTTTGCAAAGATACAGTGTTAATTCGTTGAATTTCTTAAGATCTTGTGATTTCGACAAACTGGTGGTATTTTTCACAGCATAAATGACAACCTTATTGATCTCTTAAACCCTCTGATATTCTTGCAAAATCATGTTTCTTCGTAGTTTTAGGTGAAACAGAAATGACTGTATAGAATGATTTCAGATTTGAACAGATTAGATAACGTCTAACTTTTCTCATAAAGTATAAACTTTGGAAGTAATTTTAAGAATTCATTAGTTAATACTATGTACTTAAAGCAATAACAATTAAGAGGCAATTTTTTTTTTTTTTTTTTGTCTTGAAGAGGTTAAGAGGGGCTTTTGGAATTGTTTTTATGTATGTTTAATAGTCTACAAAAAGAATTTAGACTGTTTAAAGACATAGATAATTATTTCTAACTCATTAAAATATAAGCTAAATTTAAACTTTATTTTTTCTTTCTTTTCTTACAACATTTTGCTAGGGATAAATGTGATAAAATACTAAATGATAGAGTAACCAATATTCAGTTCATTCTTTGTTTAGCATCAGGAATTTGTACGTGCATTAATTTGTACGTGCCTCTTTTATAATTGGATGGATTATTTAATTATGGCAAAGCACACGAGGGCAATCTGCCCTAAGGGGAGGGATGCCTTCGTGGAGGACTTTCTAAGGGAAACTGGCTCGTATACACGTTACACATAGGGAAAACCACGAAAACACCCATGCAGCCAGCCCCGTTCGCGGGATTCGAACCTCGTACCGAACTACCAGTGTTCAGCGTCTTTACCGTTCGGCCGCTGGTGGGCCCTTTTATAATTGGAAGGAATAACATGAAGATTTAGGGCACTTTTGTTTTTCCTGTTAACGCTGCAGTATAATTTACTGTCCTCAAGCGCAACAAATACTGACGGATATCGTCAACTTTTCTTTAAAAAAGAACCCTATATAAGTGCTTCATAGTAAAGAACATGCCACACAGTAAAAAATCGAGAAAATATGCAGAATTAAGGTTCTGGAATTTCCTTGAATATGAAAACTGATTTTGACTTTATGTAACCTGTAAAACTGATTTGGGCTTTATTTAATCTAAAAATTATTCTTGATTTGAATAATTCTAACTGGTTTGTTTAATTTTACTTATGAAATCCTTCAAAATAACATTCTGTTTTTGAGACATCGATTTTTTTAATTCAAATAATGAGTAGAGGACTATTTGTACTTTATCTATTTTGGAATTATTTTAGGTAAACTTTAAGTGCCCATACATCAATACAACAAAAAGTTTAACAAATTTTAATTGAATATTTATGTTTATAGTTATTTAAATATAAATGTTAATATACTCTTTCAAGATAACAGTAATAAAGCTAAAGAAAATTTTCAATTTAATTTCTCAGAATATCAGTTTTTGGTTTGTATTAACAATAGTGGGCGCGAACTGCTCCGCTTTCCTTTTCATTACTTCAGATTGCTACAATATTCAAAATATACTTTTCCAAGCTGTTACATTTTTAAAATATGCTGCTACAAACTGTTGCATTTTTGAAAATTTGCCATGCCACTTACTCAGACAGCAGTACTTTTTGCAATTACATCATTCTATATAGTAAACAAAATTTTCTGAAACTATAAGGTATTTCTCCCGCCTTCTTAGCATGCCTTCGTGGTGTAGTAGTCAGCACTCTCGGCGCGTATTCGAGATATCCGTGCTTCGAGTCCCGGTGAGGGCATTGCTCATTTTTCATGTCTCCTGCTTCGAAATAACCTAATGCCTCTACAAACCTATCTTTTTTTTTTTTTCAGCTTCATTAAGTTGTGTTAGTTTTATTTTTTAATTTAGTGTAATATTATGTATAATTTTTATTAACTTTTTGGTACTTTTTGATTATTTTCACCCCCACCGAAAAGTGACGTTTTGGTTGCCTACTTTGGAGACAAATGCTTGTTTGTACATATTACATATATTTCACCCATATTGCTTGTTTATATTATATATATATATATATATATATATATATCGTTTTTTCCATGTAAGACACACAACTGTGATCGATTTGTTTTGCCCTGCTGTACTCGCCACATATATTTGATCTGAAAACATCGAAGAATTTCACAAACTCGACATCTTGCACAAACAGGGCACCAAAATCGTAAAATGACACACACACAAACAAACAAAAAAAGGCGCATGAAACATTTAAGGAAGTGTCATTACGCTCCATGCATGCAGAAAGCTAAGTCCAAGATTTTGCCGAAGACGATGGAAACTACGGTATTTGGGGGATTCTATAGGTACACCTTAAATTCGCCATATGAATACTTTTTGACAACATTGTAAGTTATCACATATATACTTCTGGTGACATGACGCGTCGCCTCATTAATAATTTTACGCGCCTTGTCGGTGAGAATAGAGATTTGGAATATATTTTTTATAACCCTTATTTATAAACTTACTTATATTTTTTTATAAAATATTGATGTTCGCCCAGTCGAATATTTGCTATTCGGCCCCAGTACTTGACCAAAATTGTTTTTAAACGCACCTTTTTTTTATTATGTATTTATTACTACTCTTTAGTTATTTATGAGAAAGTAAAATGAATTTAACCACCAGTAATGGTGTGCTTGCGACTGTTTAATGCTGGTAGTTTGAACCCTTGCAAACGGGAGGAACGACATATTTGTTTTTTGTGGTTTCTCTTATGTGTAACTTAAATTTAAACCAGTTTTTCTTAGAAAGTCCTCCTGGAAAGCATCCATAACTTTAGGGAGATGGTCCTCGGGTGCTTTGCCGTAACCAAATAACTAATAAAAATGAATATAAAACTTTTTTAAGTAAATTTAATATATTACGATGCTGTTATTATTTTTGTCATGTAGAATCGCAATGATATTACGTACTTATTATCATAAATTATAATAGTAGCATTAATCGTGATATGGGGTTGCGAATCAAGAAAGAAAAATGAATATAAAAATAATAGATTATATTATGCATAATATTATGTAGTTGCTCATTAAAACTATTTCTTTCTTTTAGATTCCTTCTCATGTTGAAATATGACAACAAGCAATATCTGAAAGAAGTTGGTCTAGTATAACACTTCCAAGCGTACCAAACATTGGTTGTGACGACGTGACCCTGTTCCTCACACCTCAAGACGATTTCTGCAAACACGCAAGATCATGTTCTGTTAACGTTGGACCAGACTCCAAGTGATACATTATTAGCTATTATCACCAGATCATACCATCATTGGGTACCTGTATTTGCAGAGATTTTATTGCCAGGGCATTGACAAAAGGTGCGGGATGCTATCAGGTTCAATATTCCTTCTAACCTTCTTCGGGAACATACAAGGACCTGACTCGGAACAGAGAGCTTACTAAAGCTATGTTCACTAATTGTGGTAAGTAGACAGGATACAGACGAAGGGTATACAAAACCCTTTATTTTTCTCTATATACAATAACTTCCGTACTTCGGAATACAATGACCCGCCACTCGGGGTCTAACGTAAAAGTATAAAAATAAAACTAAACTCTAATTTAACTTTAGAATAATACACGTGGAAGATTGGCCTTATAATAACAGGAAGCGTATGTAGCACAGAGACTGTGAACACTACAATACGTTTAATTTATCAAGAGGATTAAAACCTCTGGCCTGGAAGGCAAACAGCAACTGCGTAACTTCTAAGGTAAGCGGCCTGCGTTGACTTACTGCTTCCTCTCTCTTTCGCTTGGCAAAAAGGCCACACTTAAATACTTGGCGTTCGCCAGACAAACTTGCATATAAAAACCTTCACGCTTATAATTCTGGCCGGAAGTAGAAAATAAGAAGTGATAGTAAAGATTTAAAATAAAATAAACGTTAGTAAAACTTAAGATCCTTACAATGCTAGAACATCAAGAATTCGTTACCTTATATACAGGGTGATTATAATTAAAGTTTAAGTTTCAAAACGCTATAAAAAAAGAACCACTCATGAAAATGACGTCAAATTTGAAAGGAATGTTATTGAAGAAGGCGGAAAGCGTATGGCAAAAGAAAAAATTTAGTTTCAAAAGTTAGCAACAGATGGCGCTGCAAGCAGAAAAAGACGTAAATTAAAATGTTAGTTAAATTTCAGTGTTATAAAAGCCGTCAGGTACCAGGCTGTTCCTCATTTTGCGTCTCAGACGTTCGCCATGGGTGTTTCACTGCAGGACCGCGCTCTGCTGGTAAAGCTGTATTACAAGAATGATGATTGTGCAAGAGTAGCTCTGCAAAAATTCAGGACACTGAAGGGATATAGAAGAAGGCATTGGTCCAATGAGTGTCGTAGGATCTAAAGAAAATGATGCAAAAATTCGAAAACGACAGGTTCGTTTGATGTGTAAGTCTGGTAGAGGGAGAAAACGAGTGCATTCGACGGTAGTTGAAGAAAGTGGGCCCCAGCATTACAGGAGGGGTCGGCCGGTGGTGTGCAACCGTGCAAGTGCACGAGGAATTGCCGGAACATTGGACAGGCCTACGAGCACACTGCTGAAAATTGTACGAAACATCCTGCAATGCTATCCGTAAAAATTGGCTATGTGCAGGAGTTGCTTCCGTCTGACCTGACAGCTAGGGAGACGTTTGCGTTAGAATTCCTGGCTCGCATGGAAGTGGATAATGAATGGCCGTGGAAAATTTTGTGGACAGATGAAGCCCATTTTTATCTGACACGATACGTGAAAATACCCAGAATTGTCGAATATGGGCAACAGAAAATCCGATTGGCAACGCACCTCGTACCACTTCATTCTGAAAAGATCACGGTGTGGATGCGGCTTTACGGCATTCATTCATCCTACAACCATATTTTTTCGAGCAGACGGGTGCTTCCGGTCCTGTTACCGCAACCGTCACTGGTCAGAGGTATGCGTCTCTTTTGCGCAACCACGTGATTCCAGCTCTGCAACAGCATGGATGTGTGGATGAAATCATTTTTATGCAAGATGGCGCTCCTCCGCACATTGCACATCCCGTGAAGCAGCTGCTGAGGCGCCATTTCGGAAAGCTCGAATTATCAGCCGTCATTTCCCTACAGCCTGGCCGTCCCGATCGCCTGATCTTACTCCGTGTGATTTCTGGCTGTGGGGATATCTGAAGGATGTTGTGTTCCGTGCTCCAATTGCAAATTAGCGGAATTAAAGGCACGCATTTCACAACACATTCTGAACATCACCCCGGAGGAGACACTGCGATCCGTTGTGGAACATGCTGTTTGTCGCTTTCAACTTGTTGCACACAATGGTGGACACCATATTGAACATGTTTTGCGCCAGTCTCGCGACAGTTCCGAACTTCTTTGATGAATGGTTCTTATGCGGTACGTCGCCGCAAAACTCTTGAAACCGATTTGTCCCTTTCGATGTGATATGTACAGTCATGCAAAAAAAAATATTCAACAATTCTAAATTTATCAATACGTTTTAATGTGTAACTTCCACCTTAGCCGTTGTTTTACGAATCATTTCTCATTTCTCGTCGTGATTCTGTCGCTTACAGCGCCATCTGTTGGCTAAAACTTTCGAAACTAAATTTTTTCTTCTGCCATACGCTTTCCGCCTTCTTCAATAACATTCCTTTCAAATTTCACATCATTTTCATCAGTGGTTCTTTTTTTATAGCGTTTTTAAACTTAAACTTTAATTATAATCACCCTGTATTACTCTATCACAATTAAACTACAAAATAAAAAATTCTGAATTTGTATTTCATGATGCTTTAACTGCTGCATGCATGTGGTATTTTCCGAAATTTTTGACATTATTTATTCGTTGAAGTGCTCCAGAATGTGGACCTACAAGATGCTTTCTGTTAGTATTATAGGAAATTGCAAATATCTTTCGTGCTTTACGAGTAAATTCATCTTGTGTTTACTATTTATTTCGCACAATTAAAGGTTTTAAGTTAGAGAGCTCAAAGTATGTAAATATTGTAAACCTCCGAAATTTTATTTTATATACTCTTTTTCTATATAAGCATAATAATATATGGTTATTATTCAAAAGTGCTTGTTATTTATTCTGAAAATAATTATTAAAATATGTACAAAATATACATCAGCATTTGACAGGTTATATGTGTAGCTCTGTCTTAATAAATTAAATTTGTTAAGCAGAATATAAGTGATATAATTTATTAAGGTATGTTTACATGCATGTCCATGCAACATTCAGTATAAAATATTTCTTGAGCGCTTAATTTTCTAAAGCAGTAGTTGCACAAAATTTGTCTATGTTGATTTAAATGTTTTCTTTATTAGTGCTTTGCACTCATAATTTTAGGCTTATGCCTTTTCACTTACTTATTTTACACTAAATGTTTACTTTTCTGCATAACATGTTACCAAGAGATATATTTTAGTCCACATTAAAATGGAATTTGCTTTTGAATAAATGCAACAATTCGAATACCTCTGTAAAATTTTCTTCGTTCTGTAGGTATAAATGGATTACATTCCAGCATGTTTCATAATAAAGTACCTAAATGAAAAGTCAACAAAAGCTCGATAATTTAGAAGCTTGTGCTGAAACAATTTTCAAGAAAATTTGTTTTTGTTTTTGGAGAGAACAAGGAAAACTTCACAGATCTTGGCACTTTACAGAACACTTCTACAGAATTTCCAAATTTTGAGTTTATAAAAGTCATGCAATGTAAATGAAAATAAAAATTATGAGTAGAATAATTTGCTTTTTATATCTAATTGCAATCAGCTATATATCTATTAACTAAATGTCAGAAACATTGTATAATTTCAACTTTATTCTGGGGAAACAATTTCTTATTTTGCGTTTAAATACTAGAAAGTTTATTTCTGTTCTCGCAGCTATGTTTATATGTAAAACAGCAAATCAATATGAGGTAAAAGCTGTGATTAAGTTGTACCGTGTAAGAATTGTAATCAAGAGAAACTAATAAATTATTAGAGTTCAGTTATATATAATTATATAACACTATATATTATTAACAATTATATGGCATTAAAGAAGAAAGTTCTTTGTTTACAGATTTTCACATGACGATGTAAAATTAGCCGAAAACCTTGTATGAAAATGACTTAGAAACTTATATGTTAGATCTTCTTTTTCTAATGCATGTAAGGTACATTTAATGGAATCAAAAAAACAAAAGCAGTAATAATAATCAATGCAATTTAATTTGAGGGTGAAGGTACATAAATATCAAAACATAAATATTTACTGATAGTCGTACCAGTTGTTAGGTATAGCTCTGCAGCGACTTCTAGTGGAATCATTTTCTGTTCATCCTTTCTGCTCCTGAAATTCTTTACTCATCTGTTGCAGTGGGCAGTGATATTTTAGCGTATTTTTATTGGTACGTAAAGCACTCAGTTTTGTAAAAATATGTAAAATATATTTATATATACATATATATGTTAATATATTGCAAGTATATATTTTAATGCAACATATTGTATACATTCTTTCTCTCAAAACTAAATCATAATTTAATGCAAATAAGCCAGAGAGCTATGGTAGTCAAATTGTCAATAATTATTGCAGTGGGTATGCTTATTTGCATAAGAAAATAATCATAGCAATAACTGAATTTAAAAAATGCCAGGAGAGAGATCAGCAGAAAGGAGATAATATGAAATTTTATGCTTGGTATCGGAAATAACTTCCTTACAGTTATTGGTTCAAAATAGCTACAGTTAATGATAAACATAATTATAATGAATGATTTAAATGATTTTTGAATCATGGTTCAACAGATTTCCAATCCATGGTGCAACATATTCCCAATTCATGGTTTAAAAACCATGTTCTAAATTCATAGTTCACTGTGTTCCCAATTAACGGCTCAACATATTCCTAATCCATGATTTAATATTCCTTATTCGTTGTTCAACATTCCTTATTCGTGGTTCAACATATTGCCAAATAATAGTTCATCCAAAGCCCCAAATAATGAAAAAACGTTTCGGCATCTTTTTGTTGCAACTTTTTTAGCACCATTAAATTTCTAAAATCTTGAACCAAATTTTTAACTGTATACTGAAGTTAAATAACTACGGTACGTCGTCGTCCATCATTTTAGAATTGTTTTATCTAGCTTCTTTCTTCCGCTTCATTTCGCTTCTACCAAGTATAAAGGTTTGTCTTGATCGTCAAAACCGAAATCATTGTCCTCATGACCCGAATCAAGAAGAACAACTGCTCACTTTTCATCTGTTAGCTCGGTAAAATTTTTTGCATGTTTTACTAATTGAACAGTTTTAAATCACTAATTGAAGAGTTTTTAAATAAGTTTATACTTTATTTTCTGTTTTATCAAGGAAAGCTCCCTAGTTTTAATTTCGCTTCTCTAAAATCTTCCGCAAAAAGAGGACAGAATTGATCCTTATCCATTTTTTTAAGTCGAAAATAAGGTTACTAAACGACTAAAATGTAATTTTCAACACATCGTTAATTTTTAAATGACTTCACCTTCGAGAAACTAATGCTATTTGTCACACTCCATGCTTTTTGCTCTACCACAGTTTCGATGTTTGTACAAGAATTGAACAAAGCGGCTGAAAATATATGTTTTGCATTAAGAAGGCTATTTGGAAGTTACTGCTATTTGAATGTAAGGCTTTCAAGTCACCGTGTCAAAGCTAGGGGTAAATGGGGGGTGAAAGAAGAGGGACGAGAGTAAATTGTGGGAAAGAAAAGGAGGGGGGGGGAAAGAAAGATTTCGTTTCTTAGTCAGTTAACATACTTATAGAAAACAACAGTCTTTACAGTCGTTCTAACCACTTAGAAATAAGCGCATCAATTGCATAGCCACCATTTAGACGACTGCTTTTAATTTCTCTTAATAAACAATTTCGATGAAAGGAAGTTCCTGTTGAGAAGATAATATGCCATGAATGTTTGCTGCTGTACTAGTAAGCAGGCATTAAGAGGCTGGAGATTAAAAAGATGTGAAGGAAATGTGAATGACCATTTAATCACTCGCATAAACTTTGCATTTCATTACAGATCCTGCTCAGAAAACAGTACTATATTGCAGTAGAAAGTGCAAGCTAAGATTTTTTTTAAATGTTACTTATTATCAAGAAAGCTTGAATTTGATTCACAAGAAAACTTGTGTAGCAGTAGTCTTTTATGTGAAAATTATTGTTCATTGATACTTAAAAGAGTTTGGATTTGATTGCAACTGTTCACCAGCATAATTCATGTTTGAGCCATTAGTCGTTTAATTATTTCAAATAAAGCATGAAAATAATTTTTGACATGTAAACTATAATCTTCTAATGGAAATACTAATTTTCAAATGACGATATCATATTAAGTAGCAAAATTTTGTCTTCGTAAATTCGAGATTTATGAAAAAAATGATGATTTAGGCAGCGCAATCGATTAGACTTTCTGTTATTATGAAAAAGATATTCTTGAACTTTTATGGTATAAAAAATTTGTAAGATATTTATGTTAATTAACTAGTTACTGTATGTTACAAATCTTTACTATCACTTTTCCCTCTCTCCGTTTTCCTTCCAGAATTCACATTAAGCTCGCGTATATTCAAGTGAGGGTTTGAGATTGTTTTAGGCAGAGCGTGTTAAACCTCCACGTTGCTAGTTGTCATTTTACGATAATCATTCCGGTCTGCGATGTTGCTTTATTAATGCTGATAGTGCTGTCACGCTAATGAAGTTTAAGAGCCAACTTGTGCATTTAAATATCACTGCGTAGCCTTTGGCTAAATAAGACTTAGATTTAGTTTTAACTTAGCATTCCACTTTTACGTTCACGCCATAAATGCTGGCTGACTTGTAAAAACTGGGGGTGCCTTATGTTCAACTTATTTAGTTCTTAATAAAAGGGTTTTTAACCTTTTAGTACGCTCCTGCTTGCTTACCTAGACATAGCGATAAGTCGCTTACGGCTTCATAGGAGTCTTGACTTAGTGTATGTTACCAAAACAAGTGAGACTCTAAAAATTAAAAACAAATTTTATTTTTGAATGAAAGATATAGAATGCTAAACGTTTCTGAAAAGTTACAGAATGCTAAATCCTCTGTAATCTCGAAAATTCACCCCCTCCGAGTAATATATAAACCTGATAGCAGTTTAGTGCAAAATTCTTTAAATGTTAAAATATTAAGATACTAATACCCCATTGATAATAAAATCTTTGCAAAATTCTTTTCATTTCAGTAAATGTGTATGTACACTCTCTTTATTTTTTATTCTATTTTTCCTTTCTGAAAAGGAAAGAATGACGTTAATTTAAGTGTATTACATTTATAAATGAATGAAACCTAACTCCTTAAGTTCTAGTATCTTAAACTACTTCCTAAGTGTTTTTTAGTTGCATTGAGAACCAAGATATATTTCAGGAATGAGAATTACGATGATTTCTAATCCAGAATCGTCTAAAATCAGTCTTAGTTTAACGTCGGTTTCATAGACCATTTAAAGAAATAATTTTATTTTGCATTTAAAAAAATTCGATATGAAGAAGCGTAAGGAAAACTTAAAATGTTCTGTCTATGATATTGTCTCAATAAGAAACTGTCATCAGAAACTTTCAAAAAATACAAAATGACTAACAAGCTCTAACAAAACGCTATCATAGAAAATTCCCAATAGTAAAATTAATGATTTTTCAAAAATATTTCCTTAAATTAAGATACCTCTTTCAAAAAATATGCAAGTTATGAGCCTGTTGGTTTCGATACGGAAAGTTATTTGCTCATCTTCGAATAACTATTACGTTTTACTTACTCTACTTATCACTTAATTTACTATTAATTTCATACAATTCTCTGGTACTGTAGCAGCTGCGCAAACTTTAATTAAGGGGGTCTTATCAATATTCAAACTGCGCGAGACCGGCGAACAATTGCAAACTTTTTAACACACACACACACACACACATTAAAAAGGCTAGAAAACTGTGAACTGCATGACTTTGCTTATACCTTTCCCCTCTTTTCTAGGAACTTGAATTCCCAAGAAGAACATGATTGCTTCAAAAGGTCATTTATGCTTATAAACAGACATTTCATTTAAGAGACAAATGGATATTTGATAAAGGCAACACATCTCTATTTTTTTTTTCAGATATTGGGAAAATAGTGCATACAAAAAAAATATTAAATGAAAACCTGGCATATTCTAAAGTAAAAATGAATTCTATTAAACTCACATCATATCTTCAAAATGCTTAAAATAATAATGAACCTCCGCTTGTGAATTCTCCCCAGGAATTCAAAAGCTTCGTACGAAAACTTAAAAGCCGTAGCTTTTAACTCCTAGATATAATGATATTTATATCTCTTTTGAGATTTAGACATACATAAAACTGATAGATTAATTATATATAGGATGGCTTGGAGAAAGCTACGGACTGGCGATGGTTCTCTACTTTATAGTAATTTGGAAAGGCTTTACTGCACAGTTAGAAAGATGACACTCGAAGACAGACGTAGCCGTAAATTCCACACATAATTTTATTCCTGGATAACGAATTCTGAGGACACATCTTTTTTACTTCACATCATCAGCGCACCCCACAATTTTATACAGATTATATTTTTAGAACAATGGACAATAGCTGGCAGAGGTTAAGCGAGCGAACTAGCGTCTTAACGGGAAGAGAGCTGA